ATATATAAAGCCCTCACGTGACCAGCCTGGTCCGAATAGCCAATTGCTACTATAGGTACCGGGTACCTATAGCCATTCCGAATCCATATATGATGTCACTCTATTTTTGACGATTTTTACCCTAAAAAAATTTTTCACGAAAATGTATACACTCGCATCACACAAATGCATTGATATCCCCCCCCCCCCCCCCCCNCATGTGAAACCTTACTTAATAAGCCTACTTTAATTTAAACCAGGGACGTCATTTGTGGAACTTGCAGGTTTTATTAAAATTACAATGTAGGCCTACTGTGGCATCTCCAGTAAAAACCAACCCAACAAGCCGCCCAAGTGTTGCCCCCCCCCCCCCTTCTCAACCTTTAAAAAAAAAATAACTGAAATAACGTTCCTGCTGTAGGCTACTTAGACTTACTTAGAGTAATTTAGACTTATTTAGTTTTAGTGAATTAAATTAAAAATATTACGGGCAAATAATCACTCCTCCAAATTTATCAGTTTAATTAAATCAGCAATAAAGGAATTATCGTATGTTGTTTATAAGCAAAAACAATCATTGGCCTGGGCCTACCAAAACAGTGCATGAAGCTATGGGGAAATACATGTCATGTAATAACACATGCCATATAAGCATTTCGATTCATTTTTGTACTGCTGAAGTCGAGTGAAACGAACTGTTGGCTAGCATTACACTGCTTATTACATGGTGAAAATGGCAAACGCCCTTGTTGATTTTTTGTGAATATCCACACATTTGTGGAAAGCAATGTTTTATTTTCGAAAACTGGCTTGGTCCTAATGATCAAGAAGTCAATAAATATGTGTTCTTTACTTTTTCGATATTAAGATCAGCAACACTAAGTGGCAAACATGCGTTTTAAACAGGTGAGTCAAATTTAGGTACTCACTCAAAGAAGAAAAGAAAGAGCCCGAATGACGAAGAAATGGCGAATCGCTCGGCACTGAAATTTAAGAGTGCATTCTGATAGGGTTAATTGTGGGAATTTAGCAATAACTTTTGAAGTTCTACCTAGAAATGTGTTCTTTCTTAATTGTTGACTGCCTGTTACTATATCATATGAAATATTATTAATTTTAGGCTTTAAGCCTACCTTTTTTTTTTTACATTTACATAGACTTTATACTTTATAGAGACATAAACATAACAGTTAACAGGCATAGTATAATTTTAGTATATTATAATCTTACTGTAACTATAGACATAATTAGATCCTATTTATAAGCCTTATATAATAAATTTATACTAATATAGGCAAATTACATTTATTTTAGTAGGTAAGGCTACCCAGTTGTAGTCTTATTGCATAATAATAAAAAGGCCTAATCCTAAAAAGATGCCTAGGCCTAGGAAAATTCTTGTTAATATTACATTAGGCAAATTACTGAAATTAGACCTTTTATAAACAATATTAATTCAATCAGTGTTAATTATAAAAGTTATTCAATTAATTAATATCTTGGTTACCAAGTTTACTCTCAACTTTCATATTGATGTATTCTCATTTTTCTGGATTTAATAAATAATTATAGACCTAACTAACCTCCTAACATAGACCAAGGTCTATTTATTTATCTTTAAATCATAGTAATATGCCTAAACAAATTTAGTTCTAATATAATTGCATCTGAGGGGCCATGCATAAATGACGTCATGCAAAATTTGCTGATTTTCAAACACCCCCCCATGTCAAAAATCGCCACAAAAAAATTAGACTCCCTCCTCAAATATAGCATCATAAATCTCTGCACCCCACCCTATAAAAATACAGTGTATCCACTACTGTCCTTTACAATCCCTTAAGAAATTCACCTCCCATGGATATCAAATTACTGCACCTGAGACAGATACATTTCACTAGAACATTGGTTCTTAACCAGGGGTAAAAGTACCTCCCCAGCCCCGAGATGCAGAAGACTAGGGTGTTTAAAACATAGAGGGCCTGTGGCACTGCAAAAATGTTAAGAATCCCTGCCCTAGAGCATTTACTAAGATCACACCACCCACCCCCCGATCAACCATTTTTTTCATTCCATCCCACTTCATGTGGTAGTACTAATTCTATGACTGCCATTTCCACATTTTAATAGGGGTGTGCCGGAGTCCGGTCCGGAATCCGGTTCCGCCGGATTTTGCACTATCTGGTGAAATCCGGTTCCGCCGGATTTACATGTATCCTGAACAACCGGATTCCGGAATCCGGAATATACCGGATTTCGGAATTTGCCAGATTTTGTGACTTACCGGATCATAATCTGAAATAAAAGTAATTCTCTTTCCCGAATTCCACACGATCACGATACATTAATCGATTGTTTCGAGCGTTGAGCTTGTTTAATGTTTAATATTCCGTACATACCAGAGGCTAGAGTCAGCACCGCTAATAGTGGCCAATAGT